ATTGAAAGACTTCTAGTCTATGTAGGGCTGTCCGTGGGTCGGTTCGGTTCGGTTCTGAAGAGACCCAAACCGACCCAAAACTTTCGGGTATTTAATAAATGGAACCGTCGGGTCCAAATAAAATTATGGAACAGTTCGGGTTCGATTCTATACCAAAATTAATTTTTTTTAACAGATTTATAATTGTCAACGATCGTTGGTCGTGATTGGAGGTTACAGCATCCATGGGCATTGGAGAGGGGGAAGTCGGATTCAACAGTCGACGATTTCGATTTGGACATGTAGATGTAGGTTTTCAATTTTTCAAATGATTTGGGGTCATTGATTTAGTGATTACCAAATAAAAGTAAAATTAGAAAGAGAATGATAAAACTTAAAAAGACCTAAATCTTGGGTTAAGAATGAAATTAATAATGACCAAAAAATTAAATCAAAAAATTGAATTCAGAAATTGGGTTGGGTTGGATTGGGCTAGTTAGACATAGACTTGGCTTGAGAGTTAGAATATTAATAACTAAATTAGTTAATTTACAAATTTGTTTAGAAAAAATTAAAAAAAATTAATTAATTCAACATAAAAAATTAAAAAATTTATTTAAAGTTTGGTTCTTATTCGATTTTTCGATTATGGGTTTAGAACTGAAAACCGAACCAAACCAGTCGACTCTCGACTTAAATATCCATTCGGACATTTAACTTATGAAGAACCGCTCGATTCGGTCTAATTCGAGAGTTTTGTCTAGCCCTAGTAGAAAATCTTATCATTTTAATGGACAATTTTCATAAAAAACGAAGTCAAACGGACACCAAACTTTCCACATTTTCCATGAAAAATTATGACAATCAAACACAATTAATTACAATTCCCAGTGAAACAATTTAGGGTGCGTTTGATTGCAAGGGTGGAAAATGGGTGAAAAGAAAATGTTTTACAGGGAAAAGATTTGCTTAGAAAATATTTTGTAGGGAAAATAATTTCAAGTGTGTTTGATTGGTATAATTTCTCACCCGAAAAATTTTT